GCATAATCCCTGATTCAGACTACCTGGATTTAAGTCCTGGCTCTACCTTTACTAGTTTTAGGGCCTTGAACAAGAGACTTAATATTTTTTACCTCAGTTTTCCCATCTGTAAAATGGTGACAATGGTAGACCCTAACTTAACAGATTGTTTTGAGAATTAAATGTGTTAATATGTATAAAGCCCTAAGAATGCTGCTTGGCATATGCTAAATACAGTAAAAGTTTTAGAGATGCTAGAGTTATTATTATAACTATTATAACTTTTATATGAGATGTACTCTTATGAGTATCTCTCTAGATTGAAAGGAATCCATTTTTTAAAAAGCTTTCTGTGTCAATCAATAGTAACCACTATTCATATTTTTTGCATTTCCATCTATATGTTTTTTCTATCTATATAGTTTTTTAAAACAATAAAATGATGATACTGTTTTCTAATTTTTTTCACTAAGAGTGAGTGGGTCTTTTCTCATGGCATAGAGTATTCCTTGAAACTTGATTTTAATAGTTTCATATTATTCCATCATTAGGATGACATTGTATTTAAGTATTCTATTTTTTTCACATCCACAAATATCCAGTGTGCACTTGATGGGGTGTTAGGTTTGAGAGGAGACCCCTTAACATATGGCTTTTCTGTGTAAAGAGGATTTGAGATAAATATTGATATTGTCATTGTCATAATCAATGTCATCATCAACATCTTCCTTACGTTTGCCAAATCTGTTAGAGAAGTAGGCACACCTAGAACCAATGGACCCAAGTTATGTGAGAACAGCCTTCAACGTGGTGTAGAGGCACAACTTTGGGCTATGGAATCTTAGGTCAACGATGGCCCTAATGGCCCCAATCTGTAGAGCTTGTTAAAGTCCCTTATGGGATTGCTCCAAGAGATAAAACCAGAGTTGGCAGGCCCTACTCAGATCTAAACGCTTCAAGATCTCAACCCCATGCATCTTTCTGACAAGTACAGATGGCCCCTGACCTCTGCCACCCTAGTCCCTGTCACATCTCACCAGAAAGCCACCTGGAAATAGGCTCCATTGATGGTGTAATTACTTAAAGAAAGGTTGAATGATCATCTGCTGTGGATTGTCTGCTTTTGGTGGGAGGTAGATCAAGAAGGCTCTCTAAGGATGAATCCATCTCTGAGATACTTTAAGAAGTTCCTTTGTTAGAGGCAGTGTAATGTAATGAGAAAAGCTCTGGATCAAAGTGGGCTGAGGCCCAGCTCTGCTATTTACTCACTGAAAGCTCTTGGCTCAGTAACCTGGTACCATCAGCATCCTCCTCCTCCTGTGTGGTAAAGTGGGCCTGACCATATTCTCAGGACAACATGTGACATTCATGGAGAACGGCTTGCTTTGTGTTTTGCACATAACAGGTGTTCAGTGAATGACTAAAGGTCATGCTTTTCAGGAGTGTCCATGCCAGTGTAATTGTGCGCAAGTTTCAGCTGTGACTGGGAGTCTGAATGCTAGGCTGAGCGGCTCTGGTATTTGTATGTTGCTTTCTGTGGGCCAGGTAGTATGTCAGGCACCTTAAATAGATGCTTCTTGACTTAAGATGGGGTTAACATTCCTGCAAACCCATCATAAGTCGAAAATAGCATATGTTGAAAATATATTTAATATCCCAATAAATCCATTCCGATGTTGAAAAATTGCAAATTGGACCATTGTAAATCAGTGACCATCTCTATTTATTCTGAAATCTGAGGTTGTGTGGGATTTCATTTCATTATCTTTTCTTTTCCTCATTCCTTCTTTCTTCTTTCCTTCTATTCCTTCCTTCCTTCCTTCCTTCCGTCAGGTTCTCACTTTGTTGCCTGGGTTGGAGTACAGTGGCCTAATTGTGGCTCACCGCAACCTTGAACTCCTGGCCTCAAGCATTTCTCCCTCCTCAGCCTCCTGAGTAGCTGGGACCCCAGGCACATGCCACTATGCCTAGCTAATTTTTAAAATTTTTGTGGTGATGGGGTCTGACTATGTTGCCCAGGTTGGTCTCAAACTACTGGGCTCAAGCAATCCTCCTGCCTCAGCCTTGCAAAGTTCTGAGATTATAGGTATGAGCCATCATGCCCAGCATCAGTCCATTATTTTCCTTTGGAAGTGAAACAGACCTTCAAAGGCATGCACTGGTTGGTTTTCAAGAAAGTGTTCAGTAAACCAGCTGCAAGGGGATGTCTCTGACACCCTCGGACACACAGAACTTTGTGAGTGCCATGTTTATTCCAGGACATGCTCTTCTATCTGAAAGAAGAATGTTTAAAATGAATTAGTTAGAGGAGAAATAGCAATTAAAGAAAAATAGTTTAAAATAGTTTCTTGCTGGTCACACACATTCACACAAAGCCCACCCTGCTACCCTGAATTTCCAGAATTGTCAAACCAGGCCAAACATTCCTAATAGGACACCTCCCTTTTCACTAGGAGAAAATTCTTGCTAAGAATTCCTGCCCTCTGTTTTCCTGAAGCTTTCAGGAAAGCCTTTTTTTAAACAAAGGAACCAGCTCACTGGTATCTGGGTGAACACAGGCTTCCTACCAACATGGAAATGATGGGAATCAAAAGGGATATGGGTTTCTTTTTCTCCTGAAATAGCTAGTGACTTACTTGCAGAGGGTTGGAGTATAGATAGGTAGACATCTCCACTTTGGGGGAAGTGTCTGCTTCTGCCCTGTTGAGGCTTTCTTAAATAAATCAGAAGTAAGTGGGGAAGTAGAAGGATGAAAGAGGGAATTTATTGGGTGGGATTGGAGCTGGGGACACATGACACGGTAACCCCAAATCTGAGAGGGCTTACGCGAAATGTGTACCTATTCCAAAGAAGTCACCCAGAGGTCCAGTAGGGAGAGATATTGGTTTATTAGAACTTACAAGAGGCATCGATGGTGGCTGGTCAGTTAAGAATCTGCACCTTGGGACAGTACTTCCAGCAGTTTTATAATCAAACAAGTTTAATTATTCGGATTCCTACGCAGTGTTTACAATTACATTGATTAAGAGTGGCGAGTGCTTTAGGTTTGCTTGGTCACCTGCATCCCATGACTCATTACTGGGAAAATGCATATTGGGGAAAGAAAGAAGTCAGGTAGAGGAGAAAACAGTCTGTGTCACAGGAAGAAATGGAGACCCTCCGGGCAGCATCTTGGGGACACTAAATGCCACTTAGTAAGCCTAGGTTTCCTCCTCTGCAGGGTGGGTAGGCTCACAAGCCCATTCTGTCCAGACCTCTCTCTGCATCTGGAGAGCCAGGTTTCGTCTCCCAAGGAGCCAGCAGGCAGCATGTGTTGCATGGACCTCCAACTCTACTTGGGGCTCTGATGACATCACAAATGATACAAGTGAGCGTCTTCTTTTTGTTGTCACCAGAACCTACGGATTGAATGGCAGTCTTAGAGGAAAAGGGCATGATTAGAGGAAAAAGGAGAACATGTGTGTTTGTGTATGCGTTTAAGCATGTGTGTGTGTTTGTGTGTTAGAGGATTGTGTGTTCATGCACGTGTGTGTTTGTGTGTGTGGTTTTGTGCCCCTGTGTATGTAAATAAATGTGAGAAAGGGTAGGAAACCCAACTAATCCCTAGTTTCCTGAAAGTCTATAGATTTATTTTCCTTCTTCCTTGGATATATTCTTCCTCAAAGGATTTATAGCTCATGATTTCAGCTTTTGGCCCATTGGTGCTTCCCAGAGGAATACACCAGCTATTGTTGTATCCATCACAGGTTGCTGTGTCTGACTGATTGACAGCCCTGGGGAAAGGCCATTTGCGCCCAGCAAACCCCTAGACCCTCCCTGGAGACTATCCTTACACAGGATGAGCTTCCAGCCAGATAGTTGAAACGGTTGCTCCTGTGATATTCATCCTAGCCAGGCTTCAGAACATAATAGATGCTAAAAAAAATACTAATTGAATTATAGAATTTTTTTTTTCACCTGCTTCTTGGAGAGAAGGCTAATAAAGATCTCAGTGATGAGGGTGGAGAGAACATCTGGTGAGCAGCCATATGCCTTTTGTGAAATTGTTACATATAACGGTTGGGATAATGAAGAACAATGATGTGTGTTTGTTTTTTAATACAGCTGAGTATACTAAAAGGATAATCTTTAAAGTTTTTCTTTTACTTAGATTTTTATATGCATGTGACAACAGCAACAGAAAAAAAAGCTTCAAAAATTATCTATCAGGTAGGGTCCAGTGGCTCACATCTGTAATCCCACCAATTAGGGAGGCTAAGGCAGAAGGATTGTTTGAGCCCAGGAGTTCGAGACCGGCCTGGACAACATAGAAAGACTGCGTCTCTATAAAAATTTAAACAGTTAGCCAGGTGTGGTGATGTGTGCCTATATTCCCAGGTACTTGAGAGGCTGAGGCAGATGGATGGCCTGAGCCCATGAGCTCAAGGCTGCGATGAGCCATGATTATGCCACTGCACTCCAGCCTGGACGACAGAGTGAGATTCTGGCTCAGAAGAAAAAATCCGTCATATGAATGTACCATACTTTCTTGAGCTATTCAAGATAAAAATGTTTTATCTACTCCTTACTGAATACTCACTGTGTGCCAGGCACAAGGATAAGAATTTTACAGGCATTGTTATTCTTATTTTTAGACAGGTTGTTTCCTTTTTTTTTTTCTAGTACAAGTAGTGCTTGAATGAATATCTTTGCATATACCTTTTGGTCTGGTTTATGACATCCTGTTTAGCGTGGATTCCTCTAAGGACAATGGCTGGGCATGGAATTGCAAAAACACCTTTGAAAGACATCGCAGCCTTGCTTTAGGGCCACGTTGTACTATCACACAAAAGAGGGACACCCCTATGCCTTCTTCCTCTCAAAGACGGGAAGAATCAATCCTTTGTTGAAACAGAAGCATCGACCTGCTGTATATCTAGGAGTTCCATTAATTTAAGATAACTACCTGATTGCCTATTCTATAGACTTAGGGGAAAAAAGTAGCAGCTCTTGAATTGGTTCCCACTGGGTGCGAGTTTGAGGCATTGGAAAGGGAATGAGCCTTTAGTCTCAGGGAGGTCAGGAGTTTTCAGGAAGGGTCTGGGATCCATCTTGTTTCATGACCGCTTTTATCTTTCTCTGTTCTTTCACTCCTAACTCCTTTTGCTTTCCACTCTCAAGCTAGGTGTGTCTAGGAAGCAGATGGATGGGTTTTTCCCCCGGAAAGACGCCTGAGAATTGGATCACACCTGGGATTACAGAGTAGGAGTCATTGACTGCTGTTCCCTTGTTTGCAGACTCCTGCCAGGCCTCCATTAATGTGGCTTGAGACTCCACTGTCACCCTTTATTTTTTTAATTTTTTTTATTTTTTTGAGTTGGAGTCTCACTCATTGTCACCCTTTAGGAATGGGGCTGTGTGGACTCACAGGAGGACATGTGTTTGAAAACAAACCTGTGTATACAATGAAACCAGAGGACCCAACAGGCCTCGGGTTTATCTGTGGAAATTGTGTTTCCACTAATTTAAAGGCATGGATTTGGTCCATGCAAGACAGCAAGTATGGACTGAGTGCCTTCTATGTGTTGACCATCGTCCCAGTCACTGGAGGGAGGCAGGCCAGTAAATAGATAGACCAAGTCCTGCCCTCCTGGAGCTCACACACCTTCTACTGGGGGAAAGGGAAGCACTAACCAGACAATTGCAACCCTGTGGCAGGCTATAAGCGCAATGACCACCACCAAGCCAGACCGGCACAGGGAGTGATGGGCCTGAGGGGTGAGGGAGGTGCTGGCTTCCACAGGGTGGGCAGAGAAGGACTCTGAAGAGGGACATTCAAGCAGAGATCTGAAGGAAGCAAGGAAGGGAGACGTGTGGACATTTGGGGACAGTGGGTTTCAGGTGGAAGCAACAGCAAGCATAAAAGGAGTAGGAGTGGGTTTTTGTGTTCTGTGACCACAAGGAGGCCAGTGAGCAGAAAGAGAAGTGAGTGAGGGGGAGAGGCCTGAGGTCTGGCGGTACGGCGGCTGTGGAGGAGGGGAGTGGATCATGGAGGGCTCTGCGAGCCGCCGGAGGAAGTTGGGGTTCTAGGTCACATGTATTCAGAGCCATCAGAGGGTTGACAGCAGGGGAGTGACTAGATCTGAGGCCCTGTTTGAAGAGGTTGGCTCTGGCTCCGGTTTAGCCGTTGGCAGTGGTGGAAGCAAGGAGACCGGCAGCTAATGCCACAGTCCAGGAGAGAGAAGATGGTGGTCTCTGGACAGTGGGAAGTGGCCCACATGGGAATGCACATTGTAAGGAGATCGATGTCATTTGCTTTCACTCATCCCTTGGGAGGAGAGCTCTCTGGTCTTTAGAAGCCTCTGGCATCCTTTCCTTCCCCAGGGAAGAGTAGAAACTTTAAAAATAGGCTGTTCTCTTTTGGTATCTTGACGTCCAGGTCTCAATCATAGTTTTTAATAATTTTTGCATCCCTCTCCTTTTGGAAAGATGCTTACCTGTCAAATGGGCATGAATCTTCCTTTCCCAGTTCTTTTGTCCATAGGCAATGCAACAGGAAGTCCAATATGGCAACCTGTACTTGAGCAAGAACCATCTGCTTCTTTTCCTCTATGCCAAGTCTTCAGCTGGATGGGAACTTCAGAAAGAACACAAAGCCAGGAACCATCTGCCGGGGCCCCCAAGTAACACAGTCTGACCAGGAAACACTGAAGGGACAATCAGCAGGATGCATTTTAAATGTCTGTCGGTGCCAGCACCTGTTTGACTTCCCTCTAGGGCTTTGCATTATTGATTTTATTAGTGAAAGGGGCTGAGAACATTTCCCAGCGTGACAGCAAGGCCCTCACTAGGCCAGTGCTCAGGAGACCTTAGTTTTCATTCCAATTTCAGGTATGGAGCTGTGAACATCCATCCTTGCTGGGACTGCTTCTTCATCTTTAACATGAGTCTTAGAGAGTCTGATTTCCAAGATGCCTGTCAGCTTTAGCATCTCACAGTCCCAAGCTAAGAGTATGAATAAGAAATAAGGAGCAGAAGTGACACATGAAACCCGTACTCTGGGCTTCAGGAGATTCCTTAAAGGGGTATGCCAGGTTAGGATTCAGAACAAGCTTTTATGCGTCACCTCTTAGGACTCCACACTCATTGTTTTCCCAGTCTGCACGACTTGATTCATTCTGTTAAAGGAAAGATGAGCAAACCAAAAGCTGGGATAAGAAAATAAACCTTTTTCCATGCAAGAAGAATCATCCCTGATAGCTGCATATGCTACAAAAAGACCTAGTTTGATCAGGCATGTGTCAGACCATGTGTCCGGGTTGCATTTTTTCATCTCAGGAGAGTAATTAATGAAAGTGGGACAATTCCTCACTGAAGAGATGGCTCTGTTTCCTCTAGTTCCAGCCTTGATTTTTTTGTCCTTTCTCCATCTTGTTAAGATTTATAGTCTTGCCTGTCCCCTCCAGTAACTTTGGTATAAAGTTTTACTAAGTAGGTGAATGGCTGGCTTCCAAAAATGACAACCTTAGTCCAGGTGTGGGACTAAAGCCAGGTCAGGTAAACTTGATACCTTTCTCTCTTCTTATCGACAAGTTAATGTGTTCTTCCCAGGTTTAGGAAAATGACAGACCCAAGGCATTCCCCTTTAGAAAGTCCTTTTCCCCTCTCACTTTTTGTTTTCTCAATATGACTGCTGTATATTGTGAAGTTCACCCAGGCATTGATGAAAGTGGCCAATGTTTTCCAGAATGTATTGTTACTCAAACAGGAGTGTACGCTCTACATGAGGGGTGGGTTAGACCCTTTCAGCTTAATCTCTTCCCAGCAGGTTCTGTATTCAGACATGTACTATTGTTTCCTTGATGATGTGGCAAACTGATATTGTTATTTATGCTGTGGTTGAAAGAATCTGTGTTCCAGCAATTCTTTTCCTGCTGCACTTAGTAGAAGACATTCCTGGACTCAGGGCTTTGTTGCTGTTTTGAGCCTGACATTGTTCTGGGTTTTTGCCTGATAGGCTGTGTGACGCATTAAGAACCCCTCTGTGCTCAACTATGTTGTCTATACAAGCAGGATCAGTACCAGGACTTTGTGTCTTTAGGTTAATTCTCTGGTTTTGACCTTGGGACCGACAAGAATTGATTGAACCATTTGACAACAGACAGGTTCTTTTGGAAAACATTTCTAGACTCAGCCATTGGAAATACATAAAAAAGAAGTGCCCAATTATTGAGAAAAGATGCCAAACTCTATAAAATATTTAAGATGGCTTATGTTGGTAAACAGCAACTGGACTTTGTGTCTTTAGGTTAATTCTCAGGTTTTGACCTTGGGGCCAATTTAAATTGATTGGACCATTTAGCAACTGACAGATTCTTTTGCAAAATATTTCTAGACCGAGTCACTGGAAATAGGTAAAGGAAGTACCCACACTTGAAGTACTTGTGTACTCTAAGTACAGAGTAACCTAGCATGTGCTTCTTATTGTGCAGTGTTTATAGTGGGTGCTTTGTAAAGAAGTTGACCAATTGATTTGATCTTGCCTTTGGTGAAATGATAATTCTGGCTGGGGGATGACAATGATGAGGAGGATGATGATGGGATAGCTTGAGAAACCATTGTCAGAGTCTGAGTAGGGTTCTACCCTGGGTCTCTTCACTCTCTCACAAAGTCTGACCACCCTCCTATCTTTTATGTATTCCTCAAATCTGTCTACTTCTCTCCGCCCCCATCTCTATCCCCCTAGTGCCCATTGCTGCCAAAGCATGCCTGGATAATGCACGGACAACTTTTAGCCAACACCTGGCATATAGTGAGTGCTCAGTAGGGGTAGGTATAAAATTGTATTGAGAACAATGAAAGAAAGTCTGGTACATCTACTTGAGGTACCTTCTCCTGACTGAAACTTTCAGAGATTTCCCATTACCCCTAGGATCAAATTTAAACTTCCTACCAAGGCCTACAGATCCAGGCCCTGCCCAGCTCTCCTCTTCACCTAGCGAAACCATCTCTTTTTTGATGGCACAGTAGCTATACTAACTTTCTTTCATTTCTTGGACCCATAAAGCCGCTCCTCTCCATATGGCTAGCTGCTTCTCATCCTTTCGATTTTAGCTTAAATGTCATCTTAGAGAGGTTTTCCCTGACCACCCTATCCAAAGTAATTTCCCTCTTGTTATTTTCTATCAAAAGCTCCATTTATTTCTTTCTTAGCACTTCCATGGCCTGAAATGTTGTTTTTACTTTTATTTATTTGTTTACTGGTTATCTCCCCAACTAGGTCCTAAATTCCATGACAGTTGGGATCATGTCTGTCTATTACCACTGTATGCTAGGCACATGGTCAATGCTAGAAATACATGGTCAGTATTTGTTGAATGAGTGCATAGAAAACTAGATGCTTATCATCATAACCATATAGATGATGATGACGATGGTTGGTTAGGTGGATGGCCAGCATGTGCCAAACTCGACATTGAAGGAAGATATTTATTTACTGGGGAAGTGGACCATCAGAGAGGCCAACTTTCCCAACTGGTGAATCCAGATGCCTAGAAGGTCTGCTGTTACTAGAGGTCCTATGAGAAGTTAACCCAAACATCCCTCTGACCCAGAACATGGCAGATGCCTCACCTTGAGGAAAGATGAGGGGTAGGAAGGCTTCTGAAATCTGCACCCACCCGCAGGGCTGGATTATGCCCTGAGTTTTGTGTTCTGGGTGATCTAGACAAGGTAGTGGAGGGTATAGGCTGGCTCAACAACTCCTCATTCATCTCCACCAAGATATTGCCCTCCCTCAGAGGGGATGTCAGTGCTAAAGGGGACTCGGGTCGAAAGGGCAGGCGGTCTGAATGGCCAAGCAAGGTGGGGCTTCCCATAACCCAAATGTTCCAGAACTGTCTTATGAAGAGATCTGTGAGCTCAAGTTCTGAGGAGGGGACGGGTTTTAAGAGGACATGGGAGAAGTTGGGCATTTGGCCTAGTCTGAGAAATATTTTAAGTGTTCTCACCAAAAGAGGCATCAGTGCTGGAGGAGGGATTTGGATATAGCAGTGAAGGA